AGTTGATTCAATTAAAGATTATTACTTCAAAACTACTAATTAACTATGAACAAAAGACTAAATTTTTAAGAATTGATTTAAGTCTATTGGTTTTTTATTCTGATTTATTCATATATCTTAATATACTTATTTTAATTGAGTTAATGAGAACTACAAAGTGTATATGTAGCTCTGCTAAGTTCTATGTACTTTTTATTATTCTGCACACCAAGGATTGCAACCTAAACAATCCATTCAGAAGCAGTCAATTTTACTTCTCTAATTTTCTTTAGTCTAAGACAGTTGTTTTTGTATGTGTTGGGTTGAAATTATCAGTACTTCACAGTGTTCCACATAGATGACCATATAGTGATCAGTTTCTTTGTTTCTTGACTTTATTTGTAACACAGATCCTCCGTAGCACAGCTTTTAATCTTCCTTTTTACAAGAGAGAACTGAAGTTGTTAAACTAACTTGCCCAGAGTCATAGCTAGTGAATGGTATTCTGGCATAAACCTGGGTAACCTGAATGCAGATTCAATTCCAGTAGGTCTTTTGTTAGTTATGCTATAGCTTGTTTTGTACATTTTCCCCCAAAATGTATGCTCTAAATTGAATGAAATGTGTTTAGTACACAGCTATATTCCCATTACTTTGAACAGGGCTTGGGCTGAGGGGAATAAGTAGGGCTGTTGATTAGTTCTGGATTATGTGACAGATAGAGTAGACCTGGTATGAATAATAGAAATTTAATTTCTCAGGATTATGGATGCTGGGAAGTCCAGAATCAAAATACCAGAAGATTAAATATCTAGGAAAGTTGTGTTCTTTGTTCCCAAGGTGTACCTTCTACTTCTAGTCTCACAGGGGAAAAAGAGATAAAATATGTCCTCACATAGTGGAAAAGATGGGCCTAGTAGGTCTCTAGGACCTCTTTCATCTCTTAAATCTTTACTTGTTTATTTATTTTAATTCCATATACTGGTACTTTCTTGAAGTAAAGCACACTAAATCAAATCAATTACAATAATATACGAGCCATACCAAGAAAATATTTGTAGTTATGTTGATATCCCCAAATGATTTCCATTTTTCAAAGACAATTTCAATGCCATAGAAACATTGCTTGTGACTTTAAGATGAAGAAAGCGAGATGTCGTATCATATCAAAGGAAGTAGTCTCTTTGCCAGAGTGGATCTCTCATAACTTAATCTAATCCCAAAAGGCTACACCTCCAGTAACTTATACGAAGGGGATTTATATTCAGCAGGAATTTTTGAGGGACCCACACATTCAAATTATAGCCATTGTCTTTTCCCTTTCCTGATTCTGAGTGATGGAGGCCACCTGTTCCTTCCATACTTGAAGTCCGAACACATCCTCACTTTTAAGAACCCAGGCTAACCCAGGAAGGACTTGGAGAAGGTAGACAGTGAATTCCCTCCTGCCAGTGCCAACCTTCTTCTGCCTTGGAATGTATACTGGACACCAGTTTAGTTGAAGAAGTAGCCCCAAAGAGAAATAAATCACTTCATGTGATCTAATAATTCAACTCCAAGTATCTGAAGTGAGAGCTCTCATAGTTCTCTGCCACTTTAGTGTTCCTGCCTTAGTGTTTATGTTTATATGATATAATTTTTTCAAGAAAACTTATTCACCCACTTTCCTTAATTCTGGAATTTTGAGGCATTTTTTTATTAGTGGGAAGGATTTTGAAAAAGATGAATAGGAATACCCCAAGCTCCAGAAATAAAGAACAATACTATAATCATAACATGTCATTATTTCTTTTAAAGCTTGAGTTTTCTGAAGGTTATTATCTAAAGTTGAACACTAATAGATTCAGGTTTTCTTTATGCAGAAGAAATTGTAAGTAACAGTGTTCATACAGAAAGACATTAACCAAGGAAAAGAAGTAGGCTTTGTTCCCAATAATGTTTGCATAATAGCTACCCTTGGGTGTATTACTTGACTTAAAAATAAATATTTATGCTTTGCATATTTAGCACAACAGAAATTATTTGTAGTTGTGATTCTGTAACATGATCCTCTACCTATTCATGGAGACTTTAAGCTGGGAGACTTTTGGAAGCCGGCAAACATAAATACCAGTGCTCATGAATGATCCCGGGTGGAAGCTGAAAGAGGCTGTCCTGTGGGGAGTCTGGGGCTGAGAAGCAAAAATCAGGTCATTACTGTGTTTTCAGGGGGAAGGAGCAGGATAGAACTGGCTTGCAGAAAAGCACTTACGTGCTTCCATTTTCTGCTTTTTCCTTCACAGTGGCTTCCCCCACCTGCCATGTAATGTGACAACTTAGAGCACTTTGCAGGCTCTTACAGGCAGAGTGACTTGTCACTTCCTTTACTTTGTTCTGACTTCATCTTAAAAGGACATCCAAGCCTGCTCTGCCAATTAATTTTATTTCTCATGAATAAACTGGCTTCAGCTTCACCTCTTCCAAGAAGCCTTCTCTGAATTACATCACTAGCCACTAAGTTTTAACCCAGCCTCTCTTATTGACTGATGGATTAAAATCCTCAGTAGACTTAGACCTAGAGAATTCTTTCCTCATCTTGATCTATCATTTATGTACACGAAATTTAGTACATATGTACTTTAAATTCGTTTGTTCCTTTTTTTTTTTTCTTCTTTCTTTCTCTCTTGCACCTTCTTTAATTTGAGCTTTTGAATTCTGAGAAAAGTTTCAGTATATATTATTGAAATCAGGCTATGGTAATGTTTTGAACTTCTAGGTGTAAGTTGAAAGGCTTTACATTAATTGTTCCCACATGCAAATTTTCCTATTTCTTTCATAACCTGGCTATTCTGCTGAAGCCAAGAGAAAGTCTTGTAATATTAAAGAACAAAGTGGTTTATTCCACTAGACTTCTGATTGCTAATGGTTTCCCCAGGCTCTCTTCCTTGTATGTTTATGCAGGGTTGTGTCTTGAAGGTAAACATATCCCATTGGCTCCTTTGTCTGTGGCTTTCATTGGATGGTATCTCTGCTAACACAGATGTATCTGTCCAACTTCAGATCCCAAGTGCACCCTCATTGCTCCTTCTGAAGCATCCATATGCCTTTTTTTCATGTACTTATATGCAGTCAAGCAGTACTGAAAAGTATTCCTTAGGTTTCCATAATATATTTACTTACAAGCACTTTTTAATCTTTGACCCTCTTTCCAGAGTTGAGCAGTAAAGCTGTTATTCTTATTTGCCTGTGAGAAACTGGCTAAAAACATTGAGTAACTTCTTAAATTATATGCCCAGTAAATTACCGAGTTCAAATTAGACTCCAGCCTAGAACTTTCTTCTCAATGCTGCAAATCTGACAAGAGTATAGTCTGCCACTTTCTGCAGGCCTCACCAAGCCTACTGGTATTCTGCATGCTGGGCATACAGCAGCATTGGACAGAGCGGGACTAGACACAGGGATCTACTTTGCAGTTCTGTCCCTTGGGAGAGTCACTTCACTTCAAACTCCAGGGTCCTTGCATGCAAAACAAAAACAAAACACAGTATTTTCTCAGGTTGTTTTGACACATAACATCTTACTAATTTCTTCTCAACTGTTTCCTTTTAGTTTCTGTTTTCTTTCCTTTCAGCCAGCTCTGCAACTTCTTGGTTAGCTTTTGTACTATGCATAACACTGTACCTGGATTCATGGGGACTGAGAAGTATGTAGAGTGTAACCCGTATATCTTCCTGTGGAGAGAACCGTCCCTCCTCCCTTTCCTAGCCTCCATTTGCGTCCATTCTTTTCTGCGTCCTCCTCCCTTCCATGTTCAGGCAGCCTTCTCCATCACCATAGTTTCTGATAGTTCCTGCTTTGTCTGAGGGCTAAGTCCTGTGCCTCAGCATATTTAACTAGCAGTGGCCCTTTGCATGTGCCCACCCAGGAGTTCAGTGTTCAAGAGAAAAGCCTTAAGACTGTGGTTAGTTTCAGCCAGGGACTCTGTGTACTTTGATGCTGCTATGCTTTAGGGTAACTCTATAGAGAAATGGTTCAAACAAGAAGGATAAAATGTTACTTCGTGAAATAAATTTAAATTATTTTTCTTCTAACTTTGTGTGAGTTTAAAGCCTAAAACACTATTTTTGAGTAGTTTCAGAACTGAGATACTTGTTTTTCTAAAAGAACCATTTTCACTCTGATACAGATAGTTCTTTTTATGATCCATAATCATTATCAGTCATGCATTCACATTTTGCCCTTTGTCAGTCATATTGTCTTATTTTTCTTTTACATCCCAAATGCCCTGCTAAGTCGTTAGAGATTTCTGTGTTCCCAAGGAAACACATTACAAGTAGTTTAAGTTATCTAAGACCTTCAGGCTTCCTTAATAGCAGTTGTCTATGAACTGAATACAACACATACAGTTATTCTTTTTAAAACAGAATTAAAACAAATGTGTTTCCTCTGTGTTGTCTCTGGTCCTTTTAATATCCCTAGCAGTGAGTCACATTTATTTATCATTGCAAAACACACAGTCAAAATGAGTGGTGATTTCTTAAACTCTGAGAAAGTATAAGAAACTAAAAAGAGCAGCCACTATCATGATTAGGTCCTCACCCTACATTCAATGGCTTAGGGGCATTCATTGGAGTGCAAGAATACTTTTGCCCTCCTTACAAGGTTTATAGTTCTATTTTATAGTTGTGTAAACTGAGGCTCAAGGAGTCAAGTGATTTACCCAATGTTCCATAGCTTTTAAGTGTCAGAGGTGTCCAGTTTGAGTAACTCCAAATTTCTTGTAGCCTTTCCTGTACCAGGCCCTAGGGTGGTGGGGGATGGTCTCAGGAAGGTTAAACTTGATTTATGAGGTTGTTGTCAGGTAGAGAATGACTAAAGAAGGGCTTTTGTCTGTTTGACCAAGATCCAGCCTTAGGCATGCCTCCGCTTTGCTGGTTTCTTTCCTAACAGAGACTGCAACTCCAAATTTGGATCCAGCCTTTTGTAACATTTTAATGAGAGGGTCGTCTACTAATGGGGCATCTCTCTCTTGTCTTTCACAGCAATTTTGCAGGCAGTAATAGCTGGTGATCTTATGAAGGTAAGATATTCTCCTATGAAAACTTTGGTGATTCTTTAAGAACGTTAAATCAACATCATGCCTCACCAAATTGTTCAGGATCAGGTATATCACTTATCTTCCCTTCTCTGGCACTGCCTGAGGAGAAAGAGGAAGGTTGCTCCTGAGAAGTGAGCAGAGAGAGAGAAGGGGAGCACTCCTAGTGTGTCTGCATTTCCTACCAGCAGAGGAGCTGTGGAAGAACACCCTGGATTTGCCTGGCTTAGTTTAAATGGAGCACATATCCTGGGATGCTGTGCATTCAGTGCCCCAAATTCCTGCTGTCTAAGAGCTGATATCTGAAGAATTTAAAGATTTTTCTTTTGGACAGGTAATGGAATTAATACAACTATAAGAATTACCTGAACCATAACCCAAAAATACATTCTCAGGCCAAAGCATACAACTGCTGTTATTATAATGTTACAATTTGGGAGTCATAGTTAACCCGGAGAAGGCTACCTTTGAAAATCTACATTTTTGCATCTATATATATTTTCTGGTTAATTTAGTTGAGGAAAATGGTAATGACTGTCTTGAGAGTGAATGTAAATTCTGAAGTCAGATTGCCTGATTCAGATCTTGGTTCTGCCATTCAGGATATGTGTTACTGCATATAATTAATAAATTCTCTCTGTGCCTCAGTTTCTGCATCTCCACAATGGGACAACAACAATAATGTTACCTTTTGTCTCTGATTTGTCATAAGGTCTTAAGGTATTCATATATTAAAGCTGTCAAAACCGTTTCAGTATATTTGAGGGGCTGAAAAATGTTAGTTGTTTTATTTAATTTCCAGTGTTAACCTGTATATTATAACAATTACATGGCGGGGTTAAGAATATGTTTATGTAAAGTAGTCTATGAGTATTTCAAAAGGTCTGTGTGAGATTGTGTCATTCTCAGCCATAGAGTCTGTCCATATGTCCTTGTATGACCTTGGTGACCTTGATCTGCCCTTCAAGAGTGGCATGTGCCTCAGGATGTATGTTACCTATTAGCATATCCAGCTAGGTAACAGTGCAGACAGAAACACCAAAAGGCTTAGGAGAAAGCCAAGAAGTACCATCATTTTTTTAAAAAGCATGTCATTTAGATGGAACAAGGAGACCTCTGCTACCTTTTAAATGGGTAGAAAGCAAAGATGGAGAAGTGGCAAACCTGTTGAGCAGCTTGCATCTGAGGGTACATAGCTCTGTCGGTTATGCCCCTGCCATTCATTGTCTAGGTCACAGTGTCACTGAGAAATGGTATCAGGAAGAGGAGAGTGCTCCCTGAGCTTTACTGTTTCCCGACAGTGACAAACAATGTCATGCTGTTCTCAAAGATTTGGGTGTGTTAGGGCCCTGTGAAGCACACACATGTGCAAGTCTGAGAACTTAAAAGCCAGACAATCCTGCAAAGCACTGGACATTGGAAACCTGGATTTTATGTTTCATCTTTCTTTAGTGTAGGCAACCAGTCTCCTGGGTCCCTGGCTGTATCCATACTTTTCTTACACTTAACACATGGTTATTGGAAATATGGGACGTTACTATGTTCAGTTGATTGTCTTACTATGTCCTATATTGTAATTATTTCTTAAATGACTAACAAGTAACTTAATAAATATTTCCTGAGAATAAAATATAGGGACAAAGGGTTTTTATTTTTCTAACGCTTCCCTTCCTTTTATAAAATCTTTTTCTGTCTTTTCCTTCCCTAGTATCTTTGCCCCCTTCTCTTTTCTATCTTTTTTTATTTCCTCTCCTGTGTGCAAAACATAATGGGGTAATCATTAAGAGAGATTATTTGACAGAGACAGAGGGGGGTAGGAATGTATAAAATTAGAGACTAGAGCACATCCTAGGTTCCCCCCACTGTGTGGCTGAAACAAATGGTCTCTGTGCAAGTGGGGTACATACATGCTACAGACTAGCTTCATGTTCATACCACCTGAAAACTCCATGGAAAGCTAGGGCCAAGGCAGCTGATCCTGACAGGGTCTGACTGGGTCTGCACTCCCATTCTTCTTGGATCTGCCCCCAGGGAGAGAAAGAGAGAGAGACAAGAAGGGGGTGGGGAGAGAATGAATCATGCTAGACCGTGTACCTGAGCACAACAGGATTCTCCTTTGCATCTTTGGAAAAGTGTAGCTACTTCTTTCTGTCCTCTTGTCCACTGCTTAGGAATGAAAATCCTTAAAATTCCTTACCTCCATTCAGCTACTCTTCTTGATCTATCTCTAGGCAGTCTCCCATGCCTTTTCCACAAGTGGCTTCTTGCCTGCCTTGTGCCCTTTTGATAATCTCACAGTGTCCCTCTGTGATTGCTTACACCTCGTCTTCCCTGCTGACTATAAGACTTTTGAGGCCATGGCCACATTTATCTTCGTTTCTGCTTTTTTTTTGGCTGTGGCCTACTAGGTTATTTGACTCTCATTTGTCCTTGGACTACCATTTAAAAGTTTTGAAAAGCCTTTTCTTGTCTTAGTGCACCACAATATAGGGAATAAGGACCCATTTACACTTTCTGTAGTGTTCATTATTTCATGAACTCCAGATTATATCTTCATTTAGCCTCCTGCCTCTCAGGCTGCCAACTTCTGCTCTTTTCTCCCTCATTCTTTCTCAAACAGAAACAACTGCATTCTCTGGATCATTTTGTTTCTCACCCTACACTTCTAGCTATGTTGGATGTGTTTATGAAAGATGTCAGTCCAGGGTGCAGAAATGGGTGAATGAAGAAAGAACCATGTGTGTGTACATGCGCTTGTGTGCAGAAAAATGAGAAACAGCTCTTGTATTTAGCAGTTATGTTTGTTAGAGATCAAAAAACAACTGAGGGCACAGGAAAGTAGCTTAACTACCAGACACAAAGACTTCCTGCCCATAATCATAATTATTCTCTTACTGGAAAGAGTCCTGAGCCAACCTAGGGAAGTTTTTGTTGCCTTCTCTACCTCTTTATCCTTTGAGGTAGAGACCAGTGCTCAGAGAGAAAAGCAAAAAGCAATCCAGCATGTTTTTGTTTCCTTGGGTCACTTCCTACCCACAAAGCCTCCCTGGAGTTAGGTGAGACACCAGCCATCCATATGAGCTATAATGTGGTCTAGGAATAGTACTTCATCTCTTTGACTTGTCTCCATGTCCTCTGAGGATGGAAACATTTGCGGTTTGCTACATTACTCTTATTTTATGACAAAGTAGCTATTACCTTTGTTCTGGATTCTGCCTGACCATTTTTCTGTGTGTGACTCTTTCAGCTAATGGAAAGCTATAAAAATGGAGGCAGTCTGCTAATTCAGGGACCAGACCACTGTTCACTCCTTCACTACGCAGCTAAAACCGGCAATGGGGAGATTGTGAAATATATCCTGGATCATGGTGAGTATGTGTAATGGACTTACCAGTGACCATTTATCCATGAAACAAATGACATTTTCCAAGTTGACATGCATACAGGGTATCTATACAGGCCAGAAATAGTCACCTAATTTTAGCTGACTTCTCTTCCTTATTTGCAGTGACTGAGTTTAGAGACCATTGATAGTATGGCATCTTACTCAGACATTAATAGAAGACATGTTTATATTGTAGTTTATGCAGGCAGTTGGGAATTAATTAATTTACACCTTAAAAGACAAAATCAAATTTAGCCTGAAAAAATGTGTTTCATTTTTATAAATCTTTTTTGAAAATTAAATCATCTACTTATTCCATATTCATAGTTAATTATTCTGAAGATTTATGATTATGTTTTTCCCCCATCTTTTTTTATCTCTCAATTTTGCTGTTTGATTGCCATTCATCTGTTCCACTCAAGTCATTCTTGATTCTCTCTGAAAATGCCTGGTGCTATTTTGTCCTGTGTGGCAGGCTATGCTACGTCCCAGAATGTTTCCTAACTATATTTCTGATTTAGAGTTAGATCATTTGCTTGGACATAGCAAGCATACAAGTGCTTTAGCATCAGCCTCTAAAAGCCCATTAAACCATAAACAGTATGACAGAGACCAAATCTTGCATGTCTCCTTTGGCTTTTCACGTTCAGAGTGTTTCTGGGCGTAAAGAACAAGAAAAGGGGGCAGTGGTGTATGCTGGCTTAGCTGTTTTGAAGGAGAAGATTGGAAGGTTGCGTCTCTGCTGGATCCAGACATGGAGCTCCTGAGAGACTTGAGCCTGTTCACACTGTACCCAACTTCATTCTGCAGATTGTAAGCACATTAGTTCTCCTCTTTGCTGTCTTCTTGGTCACTTTCAGTCCTCTCACTAGTTTGCCACCTACTCATTGAGAATGAATGTTTACTCACAAACTTTAAGGCATTCATTGCCCTCTCTGAAGTAAGGTGAGATGCTGGCCATCAGGTGGAATGACAGCATAACCCATCAGTTTGAATAAGTAGTATTTTATCCGTAGTTCTAGCATCCTCTGTGTGGCAGCCATAAAGCTTTAATCCATCTCTGTTTTGACCCAGGCTATGTTCTAAGTTGATTCTCTCAACCATTTAGGGGTTCTCAGATGATTATTGGAAGCGTCAGGACACCTGCACCTTTTTTTTATAGTTGGTCTTTTATTGTAGGAATCCTCACAGCATGGTTTTTTTTAGGTGATCAGTGTGGCAGGGGTCAGATGAGAATAGAAGCTGCCAAATATTCCAAAGCTAGTCAGGAAAGCTATGCATTATCTTCACTAGTCTAGAACAAGTCCCAAAGCCAGCCCAGAACAGGAGACAGCCTCTGCTTGATGGAAAAAGTATCACATAATTTGCAGCCTTGCGTAATTTCCCTACCTCTTACTCCCCATTCCTGTATTTCAGTGTCCTTATCCTCTGATTCACCTAGGATGCCTTGAAGTTCTGCCTTTCCAGGGGTTGCCAGATTTATCAAATAAAATAAAAGATAAAACACTGTTCTTTAAGGGTATCATGTCCAATATTTGGGACATACTTATAGTAAAAACAGAAGCAAAACTAAAAACACCTCCCCAGGCAAATGAATGAGGGTGATGTCTGGAATGACATTCCTGAAACAAGAGGGCTCCTCATTTTCCTTACTGCCTCTTTGTTCTTTGCCTAAAGTGGTAAAGGCTTCTGGAGATGCCTTTAATATAAACTCACAGGGCCTGGAATGTCTCACCCTAAATGTAGATCAGTACACACATACTTTGTCTTGCACCAGATCTGTCTGACATGTTAGCCTCTTAGAGCTTTGATCAAAACCTGACATTACAACAGCAAATGAGTTTTTTTTATTGATCCATAGTGGATTTTTTTTTTTTTTTTGGCAAGGGGTGAATCATAATGCATCTCTCTCTCTCTCTGCTAAAGGCATGGAATACAAAGAATTCTTTCTAAAAGGTGTGTATTTTCCAGTGTGTTGGTTAAATATTGTAAATTAATTGGTTTGATATTTATAGTCATGAGAAAATACTGGAGATTCCCAATTATTGTCCCTTCACTCACAGCACACAGTTCCTAAGGCTTCACAGGGCATCCCTTAGCATTGCTGCCTCCTCAGAGTCTCCACTTAGCCAGTAGATATCTGAGAGAAAGGCTGATGGTAGTAAAATTAATCCAGCTTTTTGGTTTGAAAATAAAATTTTATGATCCACAGCCTCAATACCATTGCATTTTTGATGAATGACACTTTTTTTTTTAAACTTTTGCTACCATAGTGGAATAAAGGAAGCTTCAATGCAATCGATCTTTATTGAAATTAGTTTTTATCAACCCTGATAGTTTTGACAATTTTGTTTTTATCATCTTTCTCATCATTTTAATTCATTCAGGAATGTGCATGCAAACATTTTAGGCATAGCCAAATTCAACCAGTTCTGAAGAGCTGAGAATTTTAGCTTAACTGTTTGTTTGCTTTTTAGTATCTTTAGTTGCTGGTACAATTTATATTAACCTATGCATTTTGAAGTTGAAAACTATCTTTGCATAACTATTCAGCTCCTTTAAATTATAGAAACCCCTTTAAATTACAGTGTTCTTGAGGTTAAGAACAAGTAAATGGAAAAAATTACCCTCTTCCTTCTCTGTAATCATCCTCTTTAACGTGGTCTCTGCTGATTGGAACAATCTTTCCTAACTTAGCACTTAGTGTCAGTGCTAAGTCAACTCTGAAAGTTCCCCTGGCAGAACAATCACCAAAAAATGCTTGGCCTGTCCCCAGAGGCCTCAGGACAGCTGGGGTTTAGGGAGATAAAAACCAGATTTGTGATGATTTGGTTGTAAATAAGCATTGGATTTACAGGAGGAAAGTTTGATCAGCTTTGAATTTATATAAGCTATAACTAAATGGTGAGGTTTTATGCTATTTGCAAGAGTAAGAATATACTCCTTTGAATCATTGAATACTGTAAATGTCTTGAATTTTTAAAATTTATTTTTATTTACTTTTTTAATTTTACAATTTGGTTCATGTTTTTTCCATGGCTTCAGGTAACATTAATCTTGAAAACTGCCCAAATAACTCATTGTAAAAACGCTTTTGCCAACTGTGACTCTAACAAAATATCAGCTTCATTCCGAGGTGCATAGATGATGTTTTGTGTATTCTTGAATGAGTGTCTGCTCTTTGCACCCTTCTTCACTCAAATACCCCTCTCTTTGCTTTGTAGGCCTGCCTTATCAGGGTATTTAGGGTGAGGAGTGTGGCCTACAATCAAGAGGACAGGTCTTGAACAAGGGCAGTGAGTCCCAGACAGTGACCAGCAGTGCAGTTCTCTTCTGAGGGCTGCTTGAAACCACAGTGGGCTGGGAATGATAGGTTTGTGGTGTGTTCTGAAGGAAACCTGGAATCGCCCTGGGGACTGCTTCTCTCATACATACAGCATGCGTCTTTCCTTTATGAAACCCTGGAATTGGGCCTTTAGAGGCTGAAAAGAGAAAGAAGGAAGAGAGCAAACAATTCCCCAGACCAGGCAGAGGCTGAGGATGCAGAGGATTCCAGCTGAGACTCCCCACCAACCAGCAGTGGTCCCTGCTTTTCAAGTCCTTTCAACCATCATTTTTACCTACTCCCTCCCCTAGTTTGCCCCTCTCAGAAACTTCTGTGTTGTTTTGTTCCTTTACCACTCTGCACATTTTGCTCTTTTGTTTTTATTCTCCCCAAGCCTGTCCCGTTGCCCCCTGCTGATTTTCCTGATAGAAATCTCCCTCATGCACTTCCTTTTCAGTTTCAATGGGTTATTTTGTGCCCCCTTTCTTTTTTCTTATTCTTTCTTTTTTTTTTTTTTTTTTTTTTTTTTGCCATCAGTCTTTCTTTTCTTTTCCTTTTTTTTTAGACCCCTTTGCTGCATCTAGTCCCAGAGAGAACTGACCGAAGTCCTGCTGGGACAGGATGACAGTGCCTTTCGCATTCCCAGTGCCAGCCCTCCCCATATCTGTGACGCTTTTGTCCTGTGGCAGTGGAGGATTTGGAATGGTCTGCTGGCAGTGTCAGAGAGACTAATGGAAAACAAGGTCCCAGAGTAAGAAACTGGGGGAGGTGAAAGGAATAGCAAAGGAATTTTGGATTCCCTGGTGTCAGGAGCACATTAAACCATGCATGTTACAAAAGGCAAATCATATATAGTAGAAATATTGTAGATGATGAAGTCACATCTGCAGACATGAGGTGGTCAAAGGAAGTGTCTGTTAACTGAGTCCTGGGCTGCAAACATGCAGTTTACAATGCTTGAATTTCACTGCAGTGGTCTTGCTCTCATGTTACAAGATCTGTGAGTTTTGCCTCCTTCCAGGTTTCCTGGACTTTGCTTGAATTCTGATGCATATGTCACTTCATGGACTTTTCTTTCCCTTAATCTTCAGACCATTTCTTATATTAGAATCTTTTGAATCTGTGTTTTTCAATTATGGATCTAGCTCTGTGAAAAATGTGATTTGGCTGAGATCCAAAGTGCTTTTTAAAATGTCACTCTCGTTAATTCATTAAAATATGTCATTCTAATCCAAGCACTATCAAGAAAAATAAGTTACAGTAATCATTACTGCTAGCATTTGTTAACTTTGGATGTTAAATATATTAACACATTTAATTTTTACAACTCTATACACTGTAAATTCTCCTGTTTACATCGGATAGGTGGTGAAAACCTAAGCACGGTGGCATCCAATTGCTTGCCCAAATTCATATATGTAGATATGATATAGTCTCTGTTATTCATGTTTCTAATTGCAAAATGGAGAAATAGCCACCAGACAAAGTATCTTCCCATGTTGGTGCTAGGTTCCAGATACACTTGTCAGGTTCTGGAAGAAGTTGTCCCCAAATCCCTGGTTGAGATTTTACAGTTGTTTTCTGGCATGTTCTGGTGTAGGCACCTGTGGGATGCAGTGTGGACATTTTTCCAAACTCTAGGAGACAGAGCCAAGATT